TTATATAAATACAAAAAAACACATTTAATTTGACGTTTCAAGCCAAGACCATTCGTCGGGAAGTTATTAGAGACCTTACGATTTTAGGACGGCAACGGTCAAAACAAACTCCTTCAAATAAATGGTAGTAAAGATAGTTCGTCGCATATTATCAATCGTATGAATTTAATACATTTTTAGAAGTTGAAGACATGGGTTTTATGGTTGGGAAGAGTTCTTGTAAACCCAGTTCGAAGTTGCACTTGTCAGTGGCTTGAAATGCAGCCGTTGTATCAAGACGTGAAAATCTGTGATTTGGCGTTGTAAACAGAGCGAGGACAATGTCTAAATTTTCTTATATTGTAATTACTCAATTTTTTTCAATGATCTATTGTATTGTATTGGTAGCCGTTGCCGTCGCGTTGCCGTTCTAAAATCGTAAGGTCTCTATTATATAGCGTATGACGTGAAAATCATGAAATTTGACTCTGAGTGGCGGACATTACTTTTATTCACCTGCCTGATATTACTATCAGGCAGGTGAATAAAAGTAATGTCCGCTACTCAAAGTCAAGACGAGTAATAATGCTAAAATTATGGACTTTTTGGTTGTTTTATTTGATATTTGGAATATAGTGAAATACGCCAAAAATTACAGGAACCACTGAATATTTTAATAAAGTATAAAACAACGGTAACTCCGAAAATAAACATTTTAATATTCTAGCTTTCGACTAAGATTCAGTCATCATCAGGAATCAGATTCCTGATGATGACTGAATCTTAGTCCATAGCTAGAATATTAAAATGTTTATTTTCGGAGTTAACGTTGTTTTATATTTTGTGAAATACGCCTCAGGTAACATTGACAGTCTCGGGTCCACAAAACGAGCATTTCAGTTGTGCATTGCCTGTTACTGCTGCTGTGTATAGGATATAATATTTCCGGGGTATGGACATCTGGAAACTATCTGGGATCGAGGACGAAATCTACCATGTAATTTAATACAAATTCGATTTACCATGGAACTAAATTAGCTATGATGGTTTATTACACGTCGTAATCAGCTCCTTGTCTATAATTCAATTATCACTACTAGTATTTTTGCATGGTCAAATTTGACCTATTAATTAACACTTATTCGCCGAAGGCGAGGTGATTATCTGGGAATATTCGCCGAGACGAAGTCGAGGTGAATATTTCCTGATAATCACCGAGCCTGAGGCGAATAATTGTTTTAGTATTTTTACACAAATCTTTTGTGTTATTTGGTACTGAATTTATTTTAATTTCGATTATTTCTTTATCAGTAAACTTCCACAAAACGGCTAGCCGCCATTTTGAAAATTTCAGTTTTGTTATATTCACCTGCAGGTGAATAGGCTATAAGAGCTTAATACGTCGAATTTGACCAATCAGGTTGTAGGATTTATTATGTTCACTTGTGGAAAAGGACTAAACTGTTATATTCACCTTAGTACGGTTGAATATAACAAAACCAAAATTTACAAAATGGCGGCTAGCCGTTTTGTGGTAGTTAGAAATAAGCGACATTAAAATTAATTCAGTCCCAAAAAACACAAAAAACTAAAACAATTATTCGCCTCTGGCTCAGGCTCGGTGATTATCGGGGAATATACACCTCGACTTCGTCTCGGCGAATATTCCCCGATAATCACCTCGTCTTCGGCGAATAATTGTTAATTAATGCATAATATACTGTAAATACTGCCGAACAGTTAACTTAAATCATTTGAGTGACGTTTTATTATTATTTTAGACATTAACGAGTGTGCGCTGAATACAGATAATTGCGACACGAATGCTGCTTGCACGAACACTATTGGCTCGTTTAGTTGTGCATGTAATGTGGGCTTTGCTGGAAATGGAGTTACTTGTATAGGTAAGATATAGCAGCTGATTCATTCTTATTTTGTTTTTATTAAACCCGTAAAATATAGTTGTAAATTTTCTGAAGAGGCATGTTGATCGAACATTTCATGATCATAAACGATATAATAGGCTAGGTATATTAATCTTAATTAGTAAAACTACAATGTGTAGATAGTTAATCAATATCTACTTAAACTGACACCAAATCAAATAACTACTCAAATTATAGTAAAGTAATAACGATCAGTGAAATTTGAATCAATACTATACCTTGTGCGATCCTTACAACTGAGAGGAACAAGTTCAGTTCGTAAGCTTACGTATGAGTGAGCATAATGAAACAGAAACTTCAAATGCGCCCACTAGTGAAATATTGCAGGTATAGAAAGCAGTCTTGCCAATTGTCGACGGCAACGTGACCGACCATCACATTATCACAAGCTCGAGACGATAATACGGGGTGTATAAAATAAGTGAACAGATTTGAAATTGCTCTCAATTTCGCAAAACAGCTAGTGGTATCAAGGTTTTGTTATATATAAATTCCTTGAGTACCCATAATGTAGAATAATGAAAAAAAAATACTCGAACTCAAATTTTGTATACCAGGGAGGTGTTTTTTTCCCAACAAACTAAAAATGGCTTGCGCACGAAATGTAAACGATTTAATCGTATTTGAGTTAATGGATGGAAAATGTGTTGGGTTTTTAATTACTGTACAAAATCTCAGATAATTTGCTTTAGTTTTTAAACTAAAAGCCCTTTAACTATTCATTTTGTCCCAAAAAATCAGCCCTTTGCATGCTTTCATAATTAATACGTACCTTTACCTAATTTGCATGCAGTTGCTGCAATATGCTGTTTACGTTTTGCGAAATTGAGAGCAATTTCAAATCTGTTCAGTTTTCCAACAATGTTTAATTCTTAAACATGTAAGCGTAAAATAAACCGTAATTGTGGTTCGGAGCATGGGTTTGCGTGTCTTCATAAACGTATTGGCGTAACATTATCTAAATAACCTAAGGCTGATTATACTAACGTTTACAAATCTTTGTCAGTTCGAGACTGTTCTGTGATCAGTTACAGACTGGGGCACACATTCGAAAAAAAGTTGGGGGGGGGGGAGTCCTATGTTCTGGGACCGACTTTTGTAGTATTTGTGTTTGGTAAGAAAAGTCAACTATGTAAAGCGCATAGACGGTAAGACGGGGATAGTATTCCAAGAGTTTAAATAAACGTTCAGTTTTTCAGAACTTTTGCAGTGGTCTAAACTTTCGGAAGGAGGGGGGGGGGGCTAAATTTTTATGGATTTCGAATGCTAGCGCCGTAGGCGCGAGGAAAGTTTTGAATGTCTAGATTCATTAGAACGCTATTTCACGTATTTTACTGACAAGGTTTGAAGAAAAGTTACAACCACAAAAAGGCATTTTTAAGACGCCAAATGTTGTTAGATCGAAAAAATATTTATGTCTAGAGTTTAAATAAACGTTCAGTTTTTTCAGAACTTTTGCAGTGGTCTAAACCTTTGGGGGGGGGAGGGGGGGATAGTATTCCAAGAGTTTAAATAAACGTTCAGTTT